TCATTCATAATTTCTTTAATTCGCATAACAATTTTGTGAATCAAGTAAAAATTATGTTACAAGTAAAATAACTGAGACATGCAGACACCAATCATGCTCAAGTTGAAATAATGTCTTAATATCAGACTGAGATTTGACTTGGACTACATGAGTGCAGGATTTCATTGCTTCACTATTATGCCAGATTGATAGAATTTTCAAATAACTATAATCATTTCTGAATCACTTCTATTATGCATAATACTAAGTTTTATACTGTGTATTACTTTCTTGGGATATTTTGGCAAACAGTGAGGCTGCTTCATACCCTTGCACAAAGAGTTTGGAAAGATAGTGGCAAATCTGAATGTCTTACTACACATAGGATGCATTGTAGTAGTTTCTAAATAATATAAAGTAGTGAGTACCTACACCTTATAAAACAATGACTCAGGTGTTGAACTGAGAACGTCTCAGTTGAACAAGTCCTTGGAGAGGAAAGTGAGAGAGAAGTCAGTGAGCCTATATTCACAGCATTATATAGGTTTTAACAACTAGGGCATAGTCATCTGTCATAAGTATGAAAGGCATAATGTTTAGAGAGACACTAGTCTCCTGTAGCAGGTGCATTCAGGCATGCCTGGCATATCTTTTGCTTTGAGGGCTTTCACACAACTCTGCCAGCCATGATAAGCATCACTGTACCTCCAGCTCATTATCTTGATGTTGTATTTGACAGTGCCAGGTAGGAAAGGCCAGAGCCTGAGGTATGTACAAACCATCACTGTTGGAACAATCCAAGTACAAATCTGTTCAGAAAGGTGACACCATAACAATATAACACATCCATACAAATAAAGATGGCTGCAGGACAGATACTTGTAATAGGTAAATTCAAAGCCAACACCACAGAATCTCAGTCTCACTGCCTGATTTGAAAACCATGGACAGTAAATTTCAGTCACATTACATTATACTATATTCACAGAATCACTTACTGTGTACCAGCTTCCTATCCAGCATCCATTGGTTGGGGAGATAGTTTTATGATAGCGTGCCAAAAATGTACAATTTTGTTCATGATGATCAGAGGTAGAGTTTTCTGGATACAATAGAGGGATTTTCCAAGATGCAGAATCCTATGCACCAAACTGGAAAAATCCTGAGCAAACAGATTACTGCCCACCCTGGATGATCTTGGAGTATCTGGTTGCCCCAGTTGAGGCAACTAGGTTGTTCCTCTGAGAAGCATCTAGCTCACTAGACCCTCCCAGAAGAGAGTAAAATTGAACAACACACTTCCCCTATGCAGCCTCTCTTCTTGATGAAAGTGCATTGACTCAAACTTGAAAGAGTAGTCTCCTAGTCTGGGTCCCTCCCTACCTGCCGGGTACATGTCCTTTGGCCATAATTGTCAGTCCTTGCTGTAGCCCTCTTATACCTGTCACAGGGACCTGCAACCTAGGCAACATGCTGTTTCATCATCTTCATCAGGCTGAGCCACTTGTGTTGTTACTTTCAAAGCCAGACCCAGATCTTCCCACTGCTCAGAAAATCTTTCTACATTCTGCCCTGAGCATTCCCCTGCTGACAACACACCTCAATTGTTATGCACTAATAGTTAGCAACTTTGTGTTTGCTATCAATACAGCTACAATAGAACTCTACTAAACAGGTTGATAGGATAATCAGAGTTTCTTTAGCATCCAGACTCTATTTAGACCAGTGAAGCAGATATCACCAGCATAGTAAAAGTCTGACAAAATATTAATGTTAATGTAGAGAGACTTAGGAAGGAAAAACTCATGGGAGAGGACAATGATGTGTCACTTAGCATCAAGTCAACAGGTCTGTTCAGAGCACAGCAAGTGCAAAGCTCTGCCAATCAAACAGGTACTTTGGATCCGTGTAGAAGATGTGACGTGACATGTGCAACCATCCTTCCTCTTGTGTTTGTTGTATTGCTAAGAAAGTGATTGAGAGGGTGATATATGCAATATATGTCAAATGGCATTTGATACATTGATTGGCTTTTCTTGCTACACTTTGGCCAGGAGCAATCACTTGGTTATAAGAACTGCCTGTCCTGGTCGGTAGATGTACAAGGCTCATGACTGGTGTGATAGATTTTGAACATAGCCTGGTGCCAATTAGAAATCCCTAAAAAATTACCTGACAATGCAGAATTATTTTTGCTGTGATTTTTAAACTTGCTTTACTTAGTCCTTAATCTAAATACCTGAAGGATTATTATCTCACCACTGTGGCAGTGGGGTTCTAGAGTTTTCTCTTGACCGTTACTATACTCTGGGAATGCAGAACCCAGGTAGCCTCCATCTTCTGTTAAATATCATTGCATTGTAGGAAAACAAGATCCTAGTTTCCTCCACCTACATTTAACTACCATTGTATTGAGGAGACATATGATCCTGGTAGTGTCACATTCCCTTGGGTATTATTGTATTGTGGGAAAGCAGTATCCTGGTGACCTCCACTGTTCTTCAGGTATCACTGCATGGGCAAATGCCTTCTTCCCTTTGAGAACATTACAGTTTTCTAAATTTTCTACTGGATGAAGCCAGCAAAGAAATAAACAATGGTTTGAAAATGTTAATCTCTGTGGCATGAAGTGTGAGGTGGAAACAGGGACTTTGTTATGGTTTGAAAACTCAACAATTGTAAATTTTTGCGATATTATTGAAACAGAGTGTTGGACAATGTCCCCAACTTTCATCATGCTAGGTTTGAGAATAATAGGAAATGATTGTCAATTAGAAATTTTGGATGGATGACTAGGGCTGTCAGCCTAAATCATAGGTGAAATGTTAGTGATTTGAGATTCAGTTCCACGGGAGTTGTAGCTACAGGAAAATGGCATAAAGCTTAGTAACCTAAACTAGAGGGCAGAAATAAGGACATCACTACACCCTCCTAATACTACACACTTGTTTAGATCAGGAACAAGGCAGGTGATTATGTCATAGAGACTGTGACAAGCTGTCAAGTCAACCCTTAGGATAACTTTAGATTCATGGTATGTAAATAAGCAAACAAGGATGAAACCATCATTTATTCTCAAATGGAGTCTCAAATTGAATTTAAGATAAAAATCCATCTAAATTTTAGCCATAGGAAAAATTCTTTCTCTGGAAGTATGCTTCTTTAATTTGTCTAAGAGAATAATTCCGATTTCCACCTTAACTTGGTGCTGTTAGTAGAAAAGTAATTGATATGTGTGAACATTTGACACGGATATACAGTAAACAAATGTTTATTACATTTGGTAATTAATTAATAGTCTTGGTTTTTTTTTTTTGCTTTTATTTTGTGTGCATGCATATGTGCACTCGAGTATCTATGTGCCACTGCTCACACATAGAGGTCAGATTCAGTCCTCTCCTTCTCTTGGATTCTGGGGATCAGATTTGGCTTGTCAGGACTGGCAGTAAACACTTTACCAACTGAGTCATCTCATTGATGCTGATCTTGGTTTTAATGCCCCTTCAATATCGACAGCTGCGATAGATTCCTGATAGTGGTTTTAGATTTTAAAAATCAAGTAGTATTTTGATAGATCCTAAGTGCTCATTATGAAGAGGCAAAGTATCTTAATTTTAACATCCATCAGCCGATAGTGCAGAGAGAAGCCATGATAGGTAACAAGTGGACAAAAGAGCCCAGATAATTCATATGCTGTGAATTGTCAAAAAAATACAATCTATTCCATCTGTATTTCACAAGGAGACCATTGCCATAAGCTGAATCAAAGTGGAAAGGCTAAGCTGGCCAATGGAGACCTGGGAAGTGGAGTTCTTCAGTTTGCAGGCTAGTCACAAGACAAAGATTCTCCTCCCAGCTACTTGCCTCATTTGATTGTGGTAGAAGACAATCCAGGGTCAATGATCTTAACCAGTTAAACTATTGCTGGCAAACTGAAATATTTATTAATTTAACCTTTTCCATGACCTGGAATAATTAAAAATCATCCCAATTTCTCTCAAGATGCAATGAATATCTTAGCCTTTAGTTTTTATCAGTTCATAGCTTTGCCTTTTTATCTTGGTGTTTTCCAGTTTTGTCCTAAATTGGACCCCGTATACCTTTTGCTGTTTATCACTCAGATTCTGACTTTCCCAGGCAGAGTGTCTCTGCTGTGAGAGATTTGCAATTCTGCTGAAACACTGGCTTCCATTGATACCCTGCATTCTCATTTCTACACTTCTCTGCTCCTCGGTGATCAGGAGGTCCCGTGGGAGAGCCTTATTGTTGCTGTTTCTGAATCTGCAGGTGCCTATGTGATACAACTACCTTCTTCTCGAGACTTGATTTTTATTTTATCCTTTAGCAATGTGTGCTTAGAAACATATGCATTACCTTAATAAAAGCGCAATAATATTTACTCTAGAAATGAAAATATTTTCATAAAACATGTTAATAACAATAAATAATTCCAAAACAAATGAGGTGACTATAGACAGTGATCCACATAATAAATAACTATGGCTATAACTGTATTTAAAATTATGGTTCTTCGTGATTTTACTAATGAGAGTAGCCCACCCCTTTGGTTTAATATCAGGCTCAGCCCATGTTTTGGCAAAATATAGACACTCAACTACCTTGACTTATATCATGGTGAGTCATGGGCAGACTGGACATTGTCCATAAATATTACCTGGGTGAGCCCATGCTATCAGAGAGAAGACATTTGAACTCAGTGGCTTTACTGTGGGCAACTATCCTAATAAGACTACTGAAAAGCTCTCTTCCTCCCAAACTCACTTTATCAACTTTTACTGTTTGATTGGGATACTTCTTTTTTTAAAAATAAGCCAGAGTCCTAATTTTTAATCAACATCTTTTATTATGGTTTTGTCCTTTGAGACCAGTTACAGGAATTAGATATTCCCTGACTATTAGAGAATAAATTGTCATGTCTTTCTCCATACAAAGTCTATATTTTTTAGTTTGCATTTAATTCATTATCTATCCAATCCCACTTATCACACCTCTCAAAAATAGCTCTCTGGTTCCCTTTCCTATCAGATTTTGACACTGGTTTGGGTGCTTGTAAAGAAGGAAGAATACACTGAAGCTCGATTCATAGGAATGTAGTCTGGTATAGAGCATAGGGCCAGATTCACACAGGCTTGAGTTCTTTGTAAAGTGGGATCATCTGAAAAGAATAAAATATGGAGAAATGTGAATCTCAAATAATAATAATAATAATAATAATAATAATAATTTTATAGACTTCTTTGGACTTTTACTTACTTGAAATACTATGATAATTTTATCAAAGTGCAGCAATAAAATTATACAGTTTGTTATTAGGTTAACATATATTAATATATAATTGGTTTCATCACATTTTCATACATGTAAAGAAAGTATTTTGAGCATATTCAACCCATCATCCTCTTTTGTTCCCCTTCATTTCCACTGATACCCTTTCTATTACCAAATAGCCCCATTTTGCCTTTCTTGTATTTTTAAAAGTCACCCAGTGAGTTTCACTAGTTGCCTATAGGAACATGCTAGGGTTATTTACATCAGCACAGACAACTTGCCAAGGGCTACACATCTGGAAAAAAAAGTCTCTTCCCTTGCAGCTATCACTAACTGCCTATAGATCTCCAGGGAGAGGTGGGGCCTCTTAAGTACCCTGCCCCATCTATCTCCTTGACAGAATACTAACAGGCCCAACCTTACATTGATCTTGTGCAGGACATTGAAACTGTTTTGAGTTCCAGAGTACAGTGACCACATCAGCATTACAACCCCTTTCTTCTAGCTGGGCACTATCTAACTAATTAACTCTGGACCCTTGACTGGGACCTCACACATATGTTTTTTTGTAGTTGTTTTTGCGTATACAGGTTTTCTTTAAGAGCCAAGGTAAATACAAGCTTCTGCGCATTAACAAGGGAACTAGTTTTGTTCTTGAACAGGTCATGAGTAGCTTAATTTTGTGCCACTATTAATCTATATGTCTAATTTTAAAATATAATTTATACATACTAATTTACAAATATAAGTACTATAACCCTAATTATTTTGTTAAAATCAAGAGTAGGAAAAAATTAAGAATTTGACAGGTTAGAGTTCTATAGTTAAATTTGAAATTAAAAAGAACAAATATCAACAAAAGCGTCTTAAAACATTACTCTATGGGATAAATTTTCGATAAGTCTTACAACATGTAACAAGTGATTTTCCAAATCAATAGTAGTCACCAAGAATCAATAAAAGTGATGACTGTAAGTTGTAGCAGACTAAGGGCCCCACCCAGTGGATACAACTTTCAAGCAGTAGGAACCAAACGTTTGCAGTCACCGAAGACTGTGAAGGCAGAAAGTCTGGAAGACACAGAAACATTTGCAGTCTTGACAGTGAACAAGGAGAACCTGGTAGACAACATCAAAAAGGTAGGCATTTGCTAAAAGAATCTCAGCATAGCTATAATCCACACCACCAGAGAAGCTAGGCAACAAGAAGGACTCTGAAAGAGACATACATGGTCCCCCAGAGAAGGGGAAAGGGACAAGATCTCCTGAGCAAATTGGGAGCATGGCGGGAGGGGAGAGGGAACTAGGAGAATGAGAAGGGAAGAAGAGGAGGGATGAGGAGGACGTAAGGGAGCAGGAAGGTTGTGTAGCAGGAAGAATAGAGGAGAACAAAATAAGAGATACCATCAAAGAGGAAGCCAGTATAGGTTTAAAGTGAAATCAGGCCCTAGGGAAATGTCCAGAGATCTACAAGGATAATACTAACTAACCATCTAAGCAACAGTGGAGAGGCTACCTTAAATGCCCTCCCCTGATAATGAGATTGATGACTAACTTATATACCATCCCAGAGCCTTCATCCAGCAGCTGATGGAAGGAGACACAGATACCCACAGCTAAACACTGAACTGAACTGGAATCCAGTAGCAGAGAAGGAGGAGTGATGAGCAAAGGGGTCTCTGAAACCCAGAGAAACAGCTGACCTGAACAAGAGGGAGCTCTTGACCCCCAGACTGATCACTGGGAAACCAGCATGGGACTGATTCAGACCCCATGAACATGGGTGTCAGTGAGAAGGCCTTGGAAATCTATGGGGCCTCTTGTAGCAGATCAGTACTTATCCCTAGCATAGGAATGGACTTTGGGATCCCATTCTACATGGAGGGATATTCCCTGAGCCTAGACACATGGGGGTAGGCCTAGGCCCTATCCCAAAGGATATGACAGACTCAGAAGACCTCCCCTCCCATGAAAGGCCTCACTCCCCCTGGGGATCAGAAATGGTGTTGGATAGGTAGGGTGTTAGTGAGAGGCAGGGTAAGAGGGGGGGAGAGGGAACGGGGATTGACATGTAAGACAAACTTGTTTCTAATTTAAATTAAAAAAAAAAGAAAATATATGAAAAAAAAGAATCTCAGCATGGTTGGAAATGGCCTTTTTTAAAAATCCAGAAAGAATGATTAGGAGACCTCATCTGGTTAAAAGCTTTGGTGGACAGCTCACATGCTGGCTAGATGGAAATGGCATCTAATGGGCACACGCTTAATGTCCTCTTAGCTGTTTTGAGTTTAGACACTGAATGAATTATCAACACATTTCACAATCCTCATTCTTTATTTTTTAAACGGGTAAAAGTTATGCTTTACCTCTTTGTTTATTAGTGTAGTAGTTGTCCATTGCCACCTCTTGTCTTTCTTCCATTGATCTCAGTAGCTAGTCAATTGACTACTGGATTTCTGGGTATATTCTTTGTGAACAGCCGATGGTCCACATGGTACTTAGAAATACAACTCAATACAGTTAACTGGGCTACATCTCCACGATCTCCTGCCTTCTGTCCTCTCCTCCACTCTCCTCGTGTGTGACGGTAGCATTTCAGAGAGTTAGGATTTCATCCTTGCTGCTGTCACTTCTTGGACTAGTTTCTGGTACACACTCTGTATTCACCAGCCCCTGCACACACCACAGTCCCATGCTTATGGGACCCATCTTCTCTTCATGGAAAATTGATACCAAGATCCCTGCTCACTCTCATAGCAGCTGCTGTTTTTTTCCCTCAGAGAACATTTCACGGTTTCACTCTGTATGTTTTATGTGTTAATCTGTTTGATAGCCATCTCTTCTCCCACAAGGTTACAGTTTTCCTATCAATGAGGGTCATACCCTTATATTTTAATCACTGTATTCATATACTTGGCTTGATGCATCATAAATACTCTTAAAAATTTTTAATGCCACTAGAATACATTCCTGTTTCTTTTAGATAAGACTACGCTTTCAAATGCCTGTTTAAAAACAAATAACTACCTTCCTCTGTTGTGATATCAATCTGATAATCACTTAATAGATTTCTAGGTGACAAGCATTTGTACATGAAAAATGTATATGCTAATGGACTAGAAAGAAAATGTCCAACTGAAGAACAAATGAGTTTTAATGGAGTTACTTACATTAGTATATGTGAAGGATTTCTTATAGAAGTAGAAATGACTCAAAGTCAGCTTGATCACCACCCCAACATGGGTGATGGATCAAAAAGCTGGAAATCTGGGGCACACTGCACAAATTTCAGGAAGCTTCACAGATTGGAGGGCCTTGGCTGGTCTTAGTCCCTTCTGGGCAGCTCAGTTTGTCTGGGAGTGTCTTTCATCAGTCCTTACTACATATAAAAGCTTGGGAATGGAGGACCCTACTATAGCTTATCAGCTTGGGGAACTTTCTGAAGCTATTTGAATTGTTTACTTCCTAAATTTTTCATTTATTTTTTGGTTTTCTGAGACACTGTTTCTTTGTGTGTAGCTCTGGCTGTCTTAGAACTTGCTCTGTAGACAAGATTGGCCTCAAAATCACAGAGATCCACTTGCCTCTGCCTCCCAAGTACTGGTATTAAAGATGTGCACCATCACCTGCCCTACTTCCTAAATTTTAAGGAGCTTCATGAAACATGGAATATTCACCTCCTTTTAGAGCAGTGGTTCCCAACCTGTGGGTCATGACTCCTTTGGTGTCACATATCAGATTCCCTGCATATCAGGTATTTACATTAAGATTCATAATGGCAGCAACATTACAGTTATGAAATAGCAATAAAATAATTTTGTGGTTGGGGCTCACCAAACATGAGGAACTGTATTAAAGTGTTGCAGGATTAGGAAGGATGATAACCACTGCTTTAGAGCATCCTGGGACTTATTCTGCTTCCCTCATAGCTGGAAGGCTGTATATTGAAGGAAAATACTACATGGTAGTTCATTGCCATTGTTACTACTCAGGCTGTTGCCCCTGGTAGTTTACTCAGTATATTTCCTTTCTGTTGCATGTTCTAAACTCTCTTCAAAGTGAATTCTTTTATCACATGCCAATCCCCTGTACCAGTGAAAGATAAAGTTAATCATATGCAGAAGCAATTCTATCACATTCTACCAACATTAGCCTTATAGTAATGGTAATAAATGCTTTCTGGAAATAGGAGAAGCACTGTTTGTCCAAAATCAGTGAATGGTCCATGAAATTATCCTTTAAAATACCTGAAAATATTGTAGTGATTATTTTTAAGCTACTGAAACATCTTATACTCTGGGAAAGACTGCAGTCAGCCTTATACATAAATTTAAGTAAATGAATATATTTAAGTAAAATGTATATTATATAAATATGTGTGTGTGTTTTTTCATGTAAAATCGGATATAACAAGACCCATCCTTCTAAACTATGGCTTCTACATGTGTTGATTCAACTGAGGGCAGATTGAAAATGTTCTAGAAAAAATGTATCTGTACTTCCCACATGCAGGTTTTCTCTTTCTTTATCTCCCTTTTCTTCTATCCATCCACCCTTCCTTTCTTTGTTTCTTCCTTTGTTTCTTGAACAATAGGATATATCAACTACAGACAGAGCATTTAAGTCATATTCAGCATTGTAACTAACAGAGAGGGGCTTCACTGTGAGTAAGTAATGTGCATCGGGTCTGTGTCATTCTGTTCTGTTTTGTATGAAGGATTTGAGAAACCAAGTGTTTTGCTACCCAGCAAATTTCTGGAGCAAACCTGAGACAGGTGACCGTACAGTGGGTTCTAGCATGAGTCACCCCACTGAGAGGTCAATGAGGCACCGTAAAGCAACTTAGGAGAGTAAAAATCATT